CCGATTTAATCCATTAAAAGGATAATCTAAATCGAACGCATATTATGACGATCTGATAAAATATCTGAAGTAAACGAGCAATACTTATAAGTCAGGACAAGAGCGATTAAGTTTATCTAAATAAGCAAAGTTTCTTTTTATTGCAAAGAATTTTTCGCGACATCCGTAACCGTTACTTTATTTCAGCATTTTCAAAAGGATTTTCTATTGTTTCTTTAAATATTTTCTCGTTGAAAGACAAATTTTTAGTTTAACCGGTAAGATAGATAGATTATAATAGAACAGCAGCTGCGTTACGTTCGCATCGAAAAAAAATTGGCAATATTTTCCGATACATATTTTCTAAATTTTCTGTTTACAAGGAAAAGACTTTACTAAAATCTTAAAAAAAAATATATACAAATCCAAAATTTATATTTAAAAATTTTTAACGCATCGATGATCTTCTGTTATGCAAAAATATTGTATGTTAATTCTATTCTTCAAGTGCCGATTGTAGGCAAACAAAAAAAATCCAGTTCAAGTTCAACGGAATTGGAAAGTGCGTTTCAGGATTGAAAAATTCCTCAATTTTTGACAATAATTGACGATGTGACAGCTCCGAATGAAAGCTCGACAGTTGGACAGCAGGATCGATCGTGCGGCTCTCGAGATGCAAGAAGCGCGCGTGTTTCGCGGTTTGACAGTTCGATAAACGGTTTCCGTGATGAATCAACTATGAAAATTTGTCTAATAAAATTGATACCAACGAGCGTGTACGTTAACGTTGTACGTTCGTGTGCGTATGATCAAGCGTACATTTTCCGCACGGTACGGCATCCGCAAAGGGGCTACTTTTACGCACCGCGGGCTCGGGTTTGCCAAATAATTCGGCACGATATGACGGTTCCATAAAATTGAAGTAATGGCGGACGGTAACGAGACGTTTCCTACTTGGCGTATCGTTATCTTACCACCACACGATCCGATTTGGACCGTCGCACCGCCGACATCGGCCGCATGTGCGTGACATTTCGTGTCAGCGTTCAGCGTTTCAGCGGGAACGTTCCTATTCGGCGAGTCAACGTACGTGCTAATATACCGATTTCGTAACCACCTCCTCGATCGTATCTCCTCGTTACACCACACGGTTCTCCGTTCTCTCTTAGCGCCAGAACGAGCTGCCGGCAGACTCTAAAAAGATAATGGTTAACTTTAAGCTCTTCCCTCGGCTCTTATCGTATTAACCCATGAGCGGAGTCGTGTGAGGCCGGGGAAAAAGCCTCTGCTTTACATTAAAGCAGCAAACACATAATTGACGACGTTTTATGCCGTTAAACGTCTCTCGCAAGTATGACGTAAATGCGGACGGAAGAGCGCGCGGTTTCACGAAATGATTACCGAAAACGCTTGGAAAATATGCCATATATTCTGCGTCATGACTTATAATTCGAAACGGTAGTGCGTGTTCGGCTCAGTTGATACGCAATCACAATTTTGTACCTGTGTGTATGTTGTATCACGCGTTACGCAACGATGAAAAATCCCCATTTCGTCGGACATGAGTGTGTTTAGGTGCGGTACATCCGGAATCCGTGGGTATTATGCGCTTGCAACGTGAGGTGTGGCGAAAATCAGTACGAAGATTCACTGCGAAAATATAAACAGAGAGAGATCACGGAATAAAATTTTTCTCGACAGAGACTTTACTTTCAGGGAAGTCGATTTTTAAAAATGTGAGCACTTCGCTTCGAAACAATTTTCTCTTTAATATTTACGCAAGGTCATAATTTCATAAGTTTTCCTGATTCCGTTTAATTTGATATGTTGAAAATTTTATCGAATTTGACAGGAAAAAAGAAAAAAGAAAAAAACACGAGAAATGGAACGTGTCCAATTTCCATCGATTACATCGACGATAAAGCTTGCGATATCGGTGAAGTAATTCAAGCACATCCGTCATAAGGTCAATGCCCCTCTCCCCCCCCCCCCCCCCATGGAATGCGTAGTGTTTGTATTCGAACTTGACAATAAAATTTCTCTGCGATAAAAAAGGAACACAAATGGAATTATTTCAAGAAAGTTTTATAGAAGACGGACATGCGTGAAAATGCTTAGCGATTACCAGCAATGGATTATATTGTACATTTTATTTAAAAGTGATTTATGTCTTTAGGTATAAATTGTACGCCACCGGCTATAGAAGATTTTCCACACGACTTGTTTGATGAAGAGCAAAGACAAGGCGGTGCTGTTGTCGTACACGTCATCGTATCGCTTTACTTATTTATCGCTTTAGCAGTAGTATGCGATAAATTTTTCGTACCTGCTGTAGAAAAAATATGTCACGGTAAGAATTGCAATATGTATCTTTCATTATTAATTCTATGTTGCACGTACTTTGCGCGTACATCACGAATTAAAGGGTCTAACACGAGAACATCGTTCAGCATCGCTCTTGCAAATTTCTGGTAATTTTATAAAATTACGTGAATGAAGCGTGGGATAATTTGAAATTTTTAAAAATCATCATCATATTTGGCTTGTACAAAATATATTGAAAATAATACTTTTTAATTCTCTCAATTCTTTCTCAATCAAAGTTTTCTCAAGAGAAAAATATCAAGATGTCAATAATTAAGCTTTAATGTAGCAAGTAACGAAACTTTTTTATCAATTTTATTTATTTATTAATTTAATTTCACTTGAATTTGACAGAATTTTATTTTCATATTTAATCAGACACAAGTAATAATGGAGTGAGAGTACTTCGCATGCTACATCTTTTGACATTAATTACCTCGATGATTAAGTTTCAACTTCGTTAATCTTATTAACTTCGCTAACTTTAGAACAACTTGAATATCTGTTTTATTTTAAGAACTGAAAGAGAGGGAAACTATATAAGACATATAAGAGTCGATTATTACAATAGTTTAAATATTAAAGTAATCTTTGCTTTTTCTTCGAATTATAAACTCTTATCTATAAATAGGTTACATATAAATTATAAATAAACAAACATACGCGCGCCAAGTAAAAGGAGATTTACTTATTCGAAGTCGTGGCATACGAGTGATGCCAAACAGTCTTGGCAAAACAAGAATTAAAGATTAGATCAAAGTAAATCGTTTTAACATGTTTAGCATCATCATATCGATTTCATGCAATTGCTTGAGATATGGATGTGTGATATCGATTGTCGAATGCCCATGCTGCAGCATATCTGCGTCACTGCGGGCGCCAGGCACCTCTTCGACGATTAACATAACAGTCTCATTCTGGTCTCGCGATATTTCTTGAAATATGATCCATCTCGGGATATTCTCATTATTATTTAATTTTAAATGTGATTGTCCGAGTCCTAACTTTAACTTATGCAAATAATAATGTCATTGTGTCTGTTGATAAAAAGATGAGAACTGCTACTTCCTAAATACACAATGAATATTTGATAAAAAAAAAATATATATAAAGAGAAGGGGGTAGGAATACCATTTTGTTTTCTTAAAATAACTCATTAGATATTAATGCAATAACACAACTTGTGTTCTTATGAACACAAGTTTATTAGCCATAAAGTTCTATCAAATTCTATTCAGTTCATCCGGTATATAGGACGAATATAATTTACAATCTATTGAAGAAGGTGGAAAAAAAGGATGAGTTGTGACACACCACCAATTAATTTCATAAAAGACACTTTTTATCTATGAAAAAATTATAAATTAATAATAATCTTTTGTAGATTTTACACATTAATAAGTGTCACAAACAGGTTTCATAAACATCTTATAAAATACAATGTCTAAATAGTCATACAATACCTACAACAAAGTAATTTTAATGATTGTTCCTAGACTTCAATGCAAACTACAAGAGATAACATGATATCTCACTATATACCCCATATCTTACGACCGCCCTCTTCCCTCTACCTAACGCATTTTTATATATTATTATTTAAGTTTTAATATTATTTCGATACTAACACTGGAGATTTTTGTTATGGAAAGTTCTACACCAAAATTTTTGTAAGGAATTTATACGACAATATAGAAATCTTTTTTTTCTTCTTTTGATTTAGTTATATAAGGTTTAGTAATGTTCAGTAATAGTTATGTTTAGTTATATAAAAGTTCAGGATAAAAAATATATACCAGGTGGATGTCCAATGTTCAGTTCACACACCCATTTTATACGAAAT